TGTAAGTAAAAAGAACGATATGGGGTCTTTGCCTTGAAAATAAAAAAGTTAAATAAAAATTAGAACCTAATTGTGCTATCCAAAGTTATATCTTTTTTTTTTTACAAAAACTTTCTTTAATCACTATTTTTAACAATTTATATTAACTAATAAAATTTGTCTGTATGCTTTGCACAACAAAATATATTAGTTTAAAATCTTATTGTTTATTACTTAAGCAAAAATAGAAGAAATTTATATAGGTTTGAAATTTTTCAAAATTTTTTAAAAAAAAAATAAATATAAATAAGCAAGATCAGAACCAAAATCTCTAATACTTTCTGAAAAGTAAGTCAAAAAATTAATACAAATTATTCTTATTAATATTAATCTATTTAAATTGGTTTTAAATTATGTTAATATGATATTAACAAGAAATCATATTAATATTGATATATATGAGAGAATTTTAATATATAAAATTTATAAATATTTGTTTTGTAGCTTAGGTTGATATTAACAAGGTTGATATTAATAAGGTAATCTGTATAATTAAAATCTATTTAGAATTCCTCTGAAATAGAGATTTGAACTATTATTTATTGGATATCTAAATAGTAAATCTAGTAGATATTTATTGAATATCTTAATAGTAAATATAGTAGATATTTATTGGATTTATTATTATCTAGATATTTAATAAATAAAAGTTTATATTTCTACTCTGAAAATAATTATAGCCATGATCTAGTAATTGAATCTGTATACTTACTATTTCAAATAGTATCAAAACTATGCAGATCTGATCACTAGATTTTAGTTATAAAAAAGATAATAATTACTAATTTAGCTTTATTGATACAGCTAATGGCTAGTATTAACCTTAATAATGTAATATAGTTAGTATTATAGTTAAATTAGTGGATGTTCTATAGAATAGATAGTAAACTCTGCAAACTCTGCTACTCCACTATTAAAAATTAAAAATTATTAATTATTAGTAAAGCTTATTTCTTATATTGCCTACCTATTCTATAGAATATCCAAGTTATTATTAGAATTAAATTATATGCTATTGTGTTAGTAGTTATTCTCTAAAAAAATTATGCAGAACTGATCAATAGATTATGAGAATTTTAGTTATAAAAATTATATAAAAATGCTTATTTGTCAGAGACATATGATATATAATTTGGTTGAGATTGCAATAATTGCTTTTCATTTAAAAGAATTAAAGAAAAAATTACTTAATAAATTAATTAATATTTATAAATATTATCTTGATTCTAATCATGATGAATTGACAATATTACATGATTTTGAAACTTTTTTGAGTAGCAATTTTTATCCTAAACAAAAAAACTATAGATTTATAAGATTGCAGATCATTCTACCTGATTTAAAATTGTTTTTTTTCTAGATCTGGCTAAATAATCTGCAAATTTGACCAGAATTATAAATGATAGGTTTTTCTATTTATCTGATGATGCAGATCTGCCAATATGATTTCATAAGTTTATGCAACAATAATAATAATTATTTATTAGCCAGAAAATTAAAAATCTAGTATTGGTTATACTTTTGACTAGTCAGTTAACTGCTTCTAACCAGTTATTATTGGTTATAATTATTGACTAGTCATAACCAGTCATGATCTGACTGAACCCATCCCTAGTTCAGATAACTGACCTATTAACATTTTTTGGTCCAGTCTTGGTCCAAAAGTGGTTCCAACCTCTAACTATTCTATTGGCTAGAGAAAAGAATTAAATTATATAAAATTGGTAATTGAAATAAATAATTGTTTAAAATAATTTTTAATTAATTATTTATGAAGATCAGTCTGAACTGTTCTCAGAACTGGAACTGGTTAACAATGAGACAGTTAAAAAGACTGGTCTTTATTTGTTCTTTTCAGGTACAGCATCTAGGTTAAAACCTATAATGTTAGAAGTTGTAGACAGACTACTTAGTATAAACACCAAAAATGTACATGTGACTAGTATATACTCTCTAATGTAAGGAGCTCCTTCTGCAAACCCCTGCTCAACAATACTTGAATAGAAATCTTAGCCCCAAAGAGGCTAGTTTGAAAAAAAATAAAAAGTTTATAATCATACACGTAGTGTATATACACGGGTATTAATCTTCAAATCCGTGTACCATGTGAACCAACCCAATTTTTATAAAACAAAATTTAACCCTTGCCTATGTTTAGAGTAAGGATATTCTTGGAATTGAGGCGGGGTATGATTTATACCAAAATTTTGCAAGGAACGTTTTTTGTTAGAAGCCAAAAGGTGATGACATAATCGTAATTTTGAGTTATTGGCAATATTTTTTAAAAAAAGAAGTTTTTTACGTTACACCTGATCGTATAACCTGATTGGCTTTCTATAATACCCATGTACAGACAACCTTTGTACAAATAGAAATGATCTCTTTTTTAAATCTTGTTTTCTTTAAAAATTAATTACTATCTGTTTCAGTAATAAAATATAGTGATTTATAATTACTAAAAAACATGCGCCATATTTTATTGCTTGCTGTAGCCTATTCATTTATTGTGTTTGGTATAATCTTGTACCAAAAATGAATTTGCATGTATTATTACACGTACTATTTTAAGAAACAAAGTATACTAAGCTATAAACATATCTGCATATTGTGGCGATGGAGGTTATTTTCTGAAGCAAGGAACTTTTAAAGCCATATTTCAATTAATGAATTACAATTAGAATTAACATTAATTTGAGAGGTTAGGATTAGACAAAATAGTTGCCATTCTGGTATTGAAATAACATTAGCTCTTATAATAATCATAAATACGAAATATTGCTCTTCCATTTCTATCAGTATATCTAAATTATCTTATTTACAAAAATATATGTGCTTATTTTGGCTGTACCATTTGAGACTCCTTAATTACAATAAGGGCTTGATATCCGTTTCATATATTTTTATTCATCAATGCATATCTTTGGAAACTATTGTGTTTACAAAAATATACGTACTTATTTGCCTGTACCATTCAAGATTCTTTGATTAAAAAATATTTTTAGCGTTTTTCATTCATCAGGGCATATCCTTGTAAATAAAATCTCATGAAATCATTGCAAAGTATTTGTGTACTTTGAGTATTGACTAGATTATAAAGTGCGTCATTTACTTTTTTCTTTTGGCATTTTATTATATAATATAGATACCATTAATTTATCTTTCATAGAAAGATGGGTTAGACGTTATCAATAAAATATGACACTACAATAAGGGATATCAAAAAAAAAAAAACAATGAATGACGCATTTTATAGTCTAATAATACTCCATTGCACCAATACCCCGTAATGTCTCGCCAAAACACTTATTTCTACAAGTGACACTGACATTATACAAACCAAAAAGGAAACGCTAAATATAGCTTTTGTGTTAGGATGCTGGAATCAGTCATAAATTGAGATTATAAGATTCTTGCATACTTAAGCATTCATTTACTTGTATTGTTGTATTTTTGCTCTTTTAAACTTTTCTATGTTTTTGGGTCGACCGTTTTATTTTTTTTTGCGTCATTCAACACACAAATGAGTGCACGCGCCCTAACTCCAAAGACGAATAACAAAATTAAATTTGTCGATGTCATTACAACATTATGAAAAATATTTTTATTATGCAAGGAAAATCTTACACAATTATAAAAAAATATTATGTGATAGTATTTCATTTATTAAAATGGTGCTAAAATGCTAATAAACAGAGCCATTGCCACTACAACAATTTATAAATTTATCTATGTCATTTATGGGCGTCATTATGTGTAACGTGGGTGCCAAATTATTTACAAAACGTAATTTGCTTAACAAAGTGTTTAGTATTTTGAAGACTCAATATTCTGACTACAATATTAATAATTATAATTTTAATAGTCATTAAAATAATTTTAAAATGCTTTTTATTTAACAAGTTTAGACAGTACTTATAACATAGCGTTGTACGTGAAAACTATAAAATATGTTAGTTCAGCGCAAATTTATTTAATCTAATAATCAAAGATGGCTCGAATGAATCGATGTTGCGGTTGCATTCCTATGAGACCTGGTGTTATAACTATAGCACTTCTTAGCTTAGTATGTTACCTTTAACATTTTCAATATTAAAACTCATGTTTTGACTAAGTTCTGCTTGCCAATTCCTTTGTACTTAGGCTGGAGGAATACTTGGTCTTATCCAAAATATTCAGCTTCTTACAAATTCTTACTATTGTAATTTAAATTATTTGTTTATTTCCCTTTATATGTAAAGTAGTAACACTTAATTTATTGTACGTACTAGATATTCTTGGATCGTCGGGTTATGTTGCTTCAGTTGTAAATTCCCTAACGATTCTAGTATCAGGCTTCGGACTT